TTCAGGTTTTATTTTCTTTGATGGGTTGGATGGTGGTTGGATGTAGGTTTATTTACTTGGACATTGTCTTTTTCTTTGGTTGTTTTGGCTTATGAAAATGATATCCATTGGTTTTTTGGTGTTTATGTGGAAGATAGCATAATGTTATAGGTATCTTGGGGTATCTCTTGGATACTTGTAGGGAATAAATATCGTACAAGAATGTCACTAGGCCATCTCTGAAGGAAATGAGATCCGTCGTGTCGATAACGCACGGTTAAGCATATATGGGAGCCGATTATCGTATGTAAATAGATGCCATAAAACATGGTCGATGGCTCGCGCTGCATTGGCAGCCAGATCAAGAAAAATATGTGCAGGAAAATGAAAATGGGTATGCAGGATTTGACGAAGCAACGAGGGGTGTGGTCGTTCGCTTTCGGATTTGGGTGCAGGCAAGCACCTGGCGATTGTAGCGCGACGGGCATAATTCAAGCAAAGAATGAAGTGCAATCACTCTTCTTTGCCCTTGATCAACTGGCCAAACTGGTTATAAATTGGCTCATCGGAGCCTCCGTCCTCTTTCCTCCACTTCCCGAAGCCATCGTTGAACAGGTCCCGTTCATAGCCCACGCAAACTTCGCTATAGTCGATCCACTCGCCCTTCTCGGTCCAAACACCGCCCTTGCCGCCTCGCAGATCCCACCACTCTTGGCCTCCTAGTAAGGCCGACTGCGCGGCTTCGAACCCGCTCGGGGAGCGCACATACTTGCGGAGAAGAGCTCGTGCCCAGGGGTGGTACCACATCTTAGACCACCACGTATCGCGCAGCTTTGGGTCTCCATCCAGGCGAACCAGGGCAGGGACCGCGGCCGAATGAATGTTGGTCAGCAAGGGGAGGTTGTGCCATGAACGGTGCTGGGGGTTTGGGAGGGCGTCCAGCGTAGCATTGTAAGGGGGGTTGAGAGGTTCATCTTTGCCAACCTTAGACTGGGTAAACGGATTGCCGACTTGCTCGGGATTCAGATCCTCGGGAAGCAACAGGCGCCTCTCCCGTGGGACACCATGCTGCATCTGGACGGAAGACGTCCTGGAGACATTGTTGTACTGTAGCCATTCCACGTCGTTCTTGGAATTCCACATATTAAAGAAAAGTTGGGATTCATAGTCAATACCAATACCGTACTCGTACCGGCGTCCGGTCTCCAGGAGCGGGTGCAGCCCTGTAAGATTCGAAGCTTCGGAAATGCCGATCTGTGTATACATCCATTCCATAAATGGGCTAGAGGTTCTGCGCCTTTCCAGTTCCCGTACGTACTCTTGTCGTCCGAATAATTGGGTCAGAGCGACATAGTCCCCTTGTACATTGCGGTTGTGCTCAACTAAGCGCAGTATCTCGGCATAGATTGCCTTCAGATCTGCGACTTGGCCGATCACAGCGCCTGGCTTGATCCACCGCGGTCGAGTAAGGGTGCCGTCCGGGTAACGGTCAGTTTTCCACCCATAAATGTCTGGGGGGAGGCTGGACTCCGGTGCTGCAACACATCCTGCATCACGAGAGAGGCCAGGGCAGCATTCCTTGCTGGCACTAAATAGGACTCTCTGTGTATACTTTTGCACTGTCTCCGGGGGGCCTTGTTCAAAGGCCTTTTCAACCATCACAAGGCCATACTTTTGTTGCAGCTTCGCGTTGTTCTCCTTCAGAAGCTTCTGGAATCGTTGAATTAAGACCTCTGGAGGTAATTGGAAAAAGAAGTCTGTTCCATCGGCGATGAGGACGAAGTCATTGTCTTGTACGTGCCGCGTTTTGTCGAGGAATTCATATATGCCGGCGATCCGGTCCCTCATAACATCATATTCTTTAGCTCCGTCGGGGAGTTTTTTCCATAGTTAATCAGCGTTGGAGGTGGATAGTTCAGAATCATGGCGGAAGTCAACATGCGACAAAGGGCGGGGGATTTGCTCTTTGCGGGAATGACGAGGTGGAATGAGGGGTTGTTTTTCTGGAGGTTGTCTGGAAGCGTATCATTTCTGGTGAGAGCAGGTCTTCCCTTATGAACGATCTGTACGTCTTCGGGACGATCTTGAGATGAACGATATGATGGATATTTCAGCCAGTAATTGACAGCTGGCTACAGAAGGAATAGTGGTTAGTCTGTATGCTACGGTATACGATTTTCGAAGGCTCACCTCAGTGGGAGAATGCGACAGAAGAAAAATAAAGAGCAGGAATGCTGTGGCTGTAAGGAGCAGAGTTCTCGTCGGTCGAGCCCTCGGTCGAAAATGGTAGAGCTGCTGTAGGTGTGTTGTTATCGAAGATCGCGCCGAATGATATCGGTCGGCCCAGGGACCATTGGTAACCCCCAGAGTAGCCATTCTCAGGGAGCGTGAAGTATGCGTTAAGCCTTCGGTTGACACGAAGTCCCTGAGGACAAGCAGTCCAGGAGACGTCAGTCCCCCTGATCGTGCGAGACTGAGTTCAGCGTTCAGCGAACGTGGTTGGAGATCACCGCAAGATCAGCATTCCTGTAGTAAAACATCTAATCAAAGTGATAGCTCAATGACAGCAGCCAGACGCCATATCGGGTCGGCGCATTAAAAGCATGCAGTCGAGGATAATGACGACAGGATGGTAAATCGGAACCAGAGAATTATAGCGGGCGTTACAGACGCCAAAACTCAGAAAGACAGATTGTCAACTGAAGAAAGAGAAAGTGGATTAAAGTTGTATGACCTTGAAGTTTAAAAAAGCGTACGTTGCAACAAGCGATGAATTGCGACGAGATTGGGGGTGATTTACGTAGACGGTGGGGACCCTTGCACATTTTCCGCGTGCGACAGGAGATTGTTGGTCTCCCCCCCACGGCTCTTCATTGAATTCTAGCCCGCAATATCCATTCAGCTGAACAGGATATACTTATGGCACTTGCAATAATCAATTCGCTGAGAATGACAGCTGACAATGAAACCTTACGCCCCCGCGGTTCAGATCGTAACTCCCCATCGGCCGCGTCAGACATATCTCGTCATCCCCGGTCTTGGCCGTTTCATGTATGTTGAGACTTTGTTACAGGTATGTCGGGCACAGACATGAAACGTCGCTAGGCTATTACTATACACACGTCCAAAATATGCAACGTATCATTCAAGGTAGATCTCCTCCCGTAGTCGCTGCAGATTTTTGAAGATACCACCTGCCGGCCCTTCACTTTCCTGGCGCCGATGGCCAACTGGTGGCCTCCCCTGTTGCTGAGATGAGTTGGTTTTACCCTGGTTCTCCAGCGTCCGCCGCCGGTCATCGATCATCTTCTCCAAACTGTCCACAAATCTAGTCCGCGCTTTCTCCTCCGCGGTTCCTTTCCACACGGTTGCCAGTCCTCGTAGAGCCTCAACTCGCCTTGTAGCAGCTTCCAATCCTTCGTCTCCTCCACCATTGCTATCGAGAAGCTCTGTCACTTCGGTGCGCAGCTTCTTCGCAACCTCCTGGCCCTTCTCCTCTTGACTCTGAGCCTCTGAGCCTGGTTCTGGAGCTGACACGGAAATAAAAGACGACGTCAAGGAAGTCTCAGACGGCGGTAGCGGCCATTCCATTGAATCTCCAAACGTCTGGACAACTTCTTCCAGGCGGGCTCGTACTTGATTCAGGGTTCGTAGCTTCGTGATAAATTCGGGATCCTGGACAGTCACCTCTCCATTGACCGCTGCCTGGGTCTCTTCTCCGTCGTCTTCTGATCCCGGATTGCTCTCCTGGTTGGATTCTACCGTGTCCGGAACGAACCTCGCAATATCATCTCGTAAAGCTTCCGTCAGGGTCTCGGACAGTCCGATTGCTTCGCCGCGCAGCACTTCAACTTCGTAGGCGAGGCGATTGCCACTCCGTAAAATTTCATCGGTCAGTTGAGTCAGATTATTGGAGAGTCGAACATTCTGCGCGTTTATCTGCGTAAGGATCGACTGCACTTGGGTTGATAACTCGGCGAGGGAAACGGCCGTCGAGCCCCGAGGGGTGTAGGATTGCGGTGACGCCAGCGTCAGCGGAGGGAGGACATCGTTCAGGAATTCGGCGGGGTCAAAGGATGGGTCGGTAAAATCGGGCGTAATGTCGAACGAAGGTCGTGAAATGGGTGTTCGGGCAGCTGCGCGTGCCGGTCCGGGATTCTGTGATGGAGCCATTTATTCGGGTGAGAAGTGCCTTTGCGGAGGCATTGAGGGGCAGGATTGCCCTAGGAAGCGCTATAGCATGAGCTAATTCAAGGACGTCGGTCTTCAAGTTAGTCTAACGCGGTTTGTGGTTATTATATAGTACAAGCGGTAGCCTGTTGGCCCAGACCTACGGCAATGCGCCGCATTGTGCCCCACGAAATGGATTCACCGCCTCGGACTGCTCTGTGACTCCGTCGTTCTATTGCTTACATAAATTTAATGCTGAAATATGAGGCCAGATATCAATATATTATTTCTTGAATAACATCAAAGACTCGACGATGGCCAGGCTCAAAGAGAGATATTTCAATTATTGACAATGAATAGCAAACTACATCTGATGAATCACACAAGAAAGCTCAATCTTCACCCAAGCAAAGACAGGGAAGAGGATGGGTATCGTCAGTCCATTCGAACAAAAAACAAAACCAAGATTAGAATGTATAGAAAGCCACGAAACTGTCTGCGAAAGGCCTCATCATTATAAAACACGCAGTTGAAAATATTCAATCAAAATTACCGTATGTCGTTCCAAATCAGTCATCTCGTATACTTTGGAATTCGGGAGGATTCGTTCAAATATCCTCGACCACTCGTGCGTTCATAGCGCGCTGAAAACCGTCATCTACATTGCCGGTTCCATAGCGGCTAGGTCCCTCGCCGGCATTGTCAGCAGCGGCAAGTTGTTGTTGCACAGATTGGTTCATGGCGGGCAAGAATATGACTTTGCTGTTTGCTGTCTTGGCCATTGCTTGCATTGCCTCGAGGTACCGGATTTGCATAGCGGGAGCAGAGGAAAGAATATCAGCGGCCTAGAGGAGAAGTTAGATCTTACTCGCCGATGTATACACAAAAAGGGACATACCTGACGCATCAACTTGGCCGATTCAACTTCGGCGCGAGCGGCAATGACCTTACTCTCACCAATTCGCTTAGACTGGGCCGCCATGGAAAGCGAGTCCTGCAGATCGTCGCTGAAAATAATATCCTTGATAAGCATGGACTCGACCTGCACACCCCACCCAGCTGCTACGTCTTCGATGATCTCCGAGGTGGACTGGGCGATCTCCTCACGGCGTTCAATCACATCTTGCAGGACTCTCGCTCCGATGACATGGCGCAAAGTGGTCTGGGTGCGCTCGACAAGCGCCTGTCGTACATTGCTGATACCGAAGGCGGCTTTGTGGGGCGAGATGATTTGGTAGTAGATGACAGATGTCAGGTTCAAAGTAACATTGTCCTTGGTCATACAGACCTGACGAGGCACCTCGACGATCTGGATCTTCACATCGACTGCGGTTAAGTGCTCACTCAGAGGGTTCACTTTAACAAGACCAGGGTCGACTGCACGTTCGAAGCTGAAGACTAAGTCAGTACAATTATCTTTCTTCACGCTTCCATTCAGGTGCCCACGAACCGTCCAAACTTTGACACGAGACCAACTTCACCTTGAGCCACAGGCTTATAGGGGTTCGGGCAGCAGACGCAGCAGGGGATAGCACCGAGGAATCCAATGAATTCGCCAAGGCCATGAACTACATTGGAGATTAGCGGTCGCAAGTCCAAAGTTACTGGGAACACATTTCAAGTGAAGTAGATTACGACAGGAATGTGATGGGAAGAGTAGAAATGGTGGAAAGGAAAAAGCATGGAAACTTACTGAGGCCTGCATACCACCCATGAGCCTCTGGGTTTTCAGCATCGTGGTCAAGCTTCTGCGCATACTTCGGCTGCAGATCGGCCAAGCGCGCAGGTTGGACACTGACAAGACCGGAGTGTCCACGGTCATGGTGGCTACCGGGCTGAGCGGGCGCCTTGCCGTTTACTACTGAATCTTCGGCGGACATGTTGAATATGTTCAGATAGTGGAGCAAATAACAGGAGACACTTGCGGATCAGAACAGAGTAGATTTCTTTAAAAAACCTCGGACGTAAATAAGTTCCGAGAGGCTGGTCAATGATACGAGGTCGCAGAGAAGAAGAGAGCTGGAATATATACCGTAGCAATGCCGGAGATGAAGGGAAAGTGAACGGATTAAATAACAAATTGATTTGGGATGTTACCTCTCACGATGCATGAGCTAACTATTGACCTAAGGCAGCCCTCTCCGCTTCTGAATGGGTCCGGGTGGGTTCCGGGGCAGTGGTGGGCCCATCACCCCGTTTTCAGCCTAGCTTAATCGAGCTGGACGCATTCGTTGGCTGCGGCACGGGTCAGTTGTTGGAAGGACCCATACAGAAGGATGGCCTAAGGTTTCTTCCAAGGCTGAGTCACTTTCTTGGCCCTGTTGGTTCAACTTGGTTTGCTGGATGATCAGGTGCTATCTGTGCTGCTGTATCATAGGTTGGCCCGGCAAGTGATCTAAAAGGCTCAAATTGAAACTCTACATTAGCTAGTGAATACGAGTTACCCTTTTAGGGAGGCCAAATGAAGATGATCCTTGGGAGTTTTATGCGATCCTGGAAAAATTACATCATCCCAAAGACAGCACCGCCGCCCCTGACTCCACGTGAACATACCTTGGCCTCTCCAGCAATGCTTCCAGATGTCTTCTAGTGGCCGCCATTGACTTCACAATGCACACTGTGCGTGATGCTAAATAATAGCTTGGGCCTTGCACTGCCCTTGCCCAAACTCCGATTTACACTTATAAACACCTCCTCTTAATTTAAACATCTGCGTTAGTACCGTCATGCTGCAGGGTCTCCTGCCGTTGCAACATGCACGCCGTTATATGCTCCGTACGCTGTACATCAGATAAACCCTAGTCAAATCTCCTTCGGAGAATATGATCCATAGTACGTACATACATACATATGGCTATGCACATTCATACGCCGTATCATTACTCCTTTCTGGGAATTACTCGGCCCGAGAAAACACTACCGTTCTTTGCCCTGCTGTTGGGCGCAACGGGGCTATGCACCATCCTTCGCGTGTTGCCAATCACTGCCCTTGGTAGACCGATGGGGCACCGCTCCCAAAGTGCCAAGCGGTGTGCCGATCTCCAGCATGTCGAAATGGCACCTTACTTCAAAGCTCTTCCACACCCTTCTCATCCAAAGAACAACAACTTTGTTGCCACCTCTCAATGCTCTTTGGGCTGCAAAGTATAGTGACACCTTGAAGAGCTGGAATGGTCAACTTAGAAGACAACTCAATCCCCCCAAGTCAGGCAATCTCGGCGGAGCTTTGGGGGCGCTTTTTGCTCGAGATCATAGTGGGTCGGCTACATTTTTGTAGAACCTTACGCTGGTTATTTATTCGGGGTCCTCTATCAGGGATCTAGGAGAGCTAACATTGTTTGGGGAAATGCAGAGCCGCGTAGTGGAGTCTTCTGATGTGATATGCTTTTAAAATACAAGCTCTGCCTCAATCTACCGAAGCGTGGCAATGCCATTTATCCGAAAATAATCGCCAGTAATATGGTCACATGCTGTTGGCACTAGGTCTGGGGCAGTGTCTGGCAGTGTACTTGGATATAGACTGCATACATGGTAACGACGCTCGCGAGCTTCATCCTACCGAACCAGTCGGTTAAGCATGCATGGCCAATCATATCCAGCCATTATTCCTAGCAAGCAAACGGGTGACTCTATCACCGGGGCAAGTCCTGGTAGAGGCATTTCTTTTGGTGTGATCATCTTAGAAGCGTCCCGACGCCAGTTATAGCATTATTGGTTAAAGTCAATTCATTGTTAGGGTTATTTATTGTGTACGGTCCATGGATATCGACATGTCACAAGATTTGCTACACAATTACAGGCAAGACATTGATCAGTTACTTTTGACCATATGCTGCAAGGGTACCCCACGTCTTTCACCCCTGTATGTTCTGAAGCCACGATCTTGCACAGGGGCTGCGTGGATCTTTACATTGCCTCGTCTAATATGTTCCCGTGAAACAATGGCCTCGAAATATCTATCAATAGCTCCTTTACCGGTCTAACTGATATTATATCTGCGTTAAACGTCATGGATAGGTACTTGCAACGCAGGTTATCAAGGATGACCGTCACCTGGCAATACTACCACCACACTGCACCCACTATTTAACCGATGCGTCGCAACTTGGAAAAAGCTGGTTAAGAACCATAATAATAAATGAAGTAACTCCCAGAAACATGCATTTCTACTTCAATACACCGATCTTATCTCAAAAGAAGATGGAATAGAAAAGTTAGAGTTCTTAGCCTACATCATACATGGTGTCAGGACACTGTAGGAATATAATACCAAAAGTAAAAACCTTTACCAATAAGAAGCATCATTGGTCTAGTGGTAGAATTCATCGTTGCCATCGATGAGGCCCGTGTTCGATTCACGGATGATGCACTTCTTTTTTTCTTATTTTACTCTTTCTGGCTCATTTCTCGCCTCATCTACTTTCCTTCGCATGGAGCCACATTGGCACTATTGTGTTTTTAACCCAGATCATTCGGATAGTTGGAAAATCGAGTTCAAACATAATATAACTCCAGCACCTATTTGGACACTTTTCCAAATGAGGCTTGATAATCATAAAATAGCGGTCAAAAACGTAAGTACAGTAAGAAGTACAGCTAAACATGGGAGTTAGAGTATGAAGATAGCTTCGTCAGAGGTAAATTTACTTCTGCTTACATCGTTGAAAATATCAGAGGGGAACCGGCGTCTCTATTATCAGATCAAGTAGATCCGTATCAAATTTATGTAGCACAGTCCACGCTATAATATCATGATTTCCGGGTCCCATACCTTCTCTTACAGAGCGCAAGAGCATTTCCATGGATGTATCACTTAGCACCTAGCTGCACGCACCTCCATGTTATGCTTGACTGTATAGACCTTGCCGATTTTCAACCGGAACATGGGGTCCAGCCGCTGGTTATACGTGACTGGTATCGCCTCCCAAGGCTCCTTGGACATTCGCGGCTTATCTAGGCCATATAGTAGCTATAGATTCCATGCGAATGGCGGCATGTTTGGATAGGTCCACACAAAACTTTACAGCTCCTTCGTTACGGTGTGCGTGCACCAACTCGGAGATAACACTTGCCTCTAGTAGAGTATCCGGATAATATCACCAAATGGCCCCCAACGAATCCCACACGAGGGAGTACATCAACTGGTTGATCAAAAAGTGATACAAGTACAGCCCTCGATCATGCATGGACTCTGAAAACGCCATACGCGTGCTCCTGCCAAAAGAGGGAACTCGATGGCAATTGGAAAGGCCATGAGTCAAGATGAAAATATCTTCAAGGCCGGAAGACTCTCGGACCACCATCGTATGCACGCCTCCTCTGGAGCAAATCCTGAACGGCAATAATGATTCCTGTCTGTTCTCTGTGGGAGTAATAGGCATGTCGTTCTTGTTCATCCACCGGGCGTAGGTAAAGCTATAGCAGCTTGTGCAACGAGCTCTGAAAAAACGACAGGCTAGTACTTTCAGTTGATGTTTGCGGTGTGGTCCCTCTTATCGGGTAGCGTATCACAAAAATCCTGCTTGGAAATGTCGTTGTTGACAGAGGGGTTGTTTGGTTTGACCTGGAAAGACGATACACCGATCAGTTCAGGAGAAAGGTCACGATGAAAGAAATGTTGCGAAAAACCAACCAAGTGAACCGTTCCCTGTTGGCCAAGCTCGAAGCATCATTTCCTCGGAAGGGACTCAAGAGCACAGTCTCCGACATCCTCTCGGGCATGGACTGTGATGAACTTTTATACGCGAAAGAAGAGAACAAGTTGGTGGACCCTACGTAGAGTCGCAAATGTTACAATTTCCAGAGCTGTGTGGATTGCACCAATTGGTTGCGGGGCGCGAAGCGCTCTACAAATTATATAGAACTCACAGATTCTGTGTGCGAGGGTGAGACATCGTGCATTGTTTGCGTGGGTTATGTTTGACATGAAGATAATGGTATGGACCTATAGAGGAACATCCTACCATCACCGTCTTGTCCAGAGCATGGAGATAACTGTTTGGTAATATTGATGTTGTAAATATTGTGGACGGTTGGGATGCTAGACTCACGAGTCACGACTGTCTGCCTGAGGTATACCTCACCTGATCTACCAGCCCCAGTTTGGTAACACAAGCCCTAAATCAGCCAACATCCAAAACCATGACATTATATACCATTGCTTCATTTCTCTCAATGAGGCAAGGTTATGGCATCAAATTTCCAGTAATCGAGGGCCCAGACCTTCCTGCAGTCGGTAGGAATGCCAATTATTGCATGTCGGTGTATACCTCACAGGCGGATGTCTCGAGGGCTGATGGTTGATAATCTGCTGAAGGGGGTGCTTTCAGTTCTGGAGATTAGTTGCTTGCGGCACATATCCTTGTAATATGGAAGTCTATACATAAATATATGTCTTCAAATAGCGTGAAGTCTTCGCGGAGCGGTGGAAAGGGTACAGCATCCCGGGACCAAGGCGTCGCTCCCCCGTAGGCATAATAAATTACCTCAGTACATTATTTACCATATTAGACAATAGATTTTCTTGCATTTGCATGGTCCTGACCCGCATGAACGCCCCTCGGCCCGCAGTACTCTTTGTTTGCATGCTACATGCCTGCACAGCGGCTACGCAGAACCCACCCCATAAACACAACTTCTCCTGATAAGAGATAGTTTTCTAGATATTTAAGCTGGTCATCTGATAGATGAGTACTACTATACTATATACAGAGCCTGATATAACCACGCTAGTCCCAATTGGGATGTGTCCATGGCATTCAATATAAAAGTCTGTATTCTGATTTACACCTTTTAAAACTTCATATTTTGAGTCTCTAATCAATCATTCAACAACTACAGCATGTTAGCTCAGGGGAAGAGCGCCGGGCTCATAACCCGG